TCAGGAACTGAACCCCAATGGGGCAAATCGTCAGCGGCCGAGCAGAGCAGAGCCTGGCAGCGGTTCTTAGGTGGGCCTTATATAATATAATATAATATAATATAATATAATATAATATAATATAATATAGTAATATAATTATATAATATATGTATTATTATCCTTATATATATATGCATATAGATATACATAATATTAAATGTTACACGGTATACTCTTCGAACTCACAGTCTAGTAGCCTGTTCTTGCCGTGCAAGTTTCAGCAGCCCGGCAGTCATCTTCTTCTTCAGGAGCTTCTCATTGCGGTCCTTATGTTACGATCAGGAGCTGCACCCCAGCTGGATTGTATACATAGTATACATGAAATGCACAGCCAAGCATCACAAGACTTCATGTGCAACTTGAAGACTTTTCTGCAGAATTCTCGCGGGTACTCCTGCGTGCTCTTCAGTTTCTTGTCCCCCGTCCTCAGATGTTCATAGTAAACAGCATGACATTTAGCCATTCTAATTATAATAATTATGCCAGGAAACACAGCAGTTCTGTCTCCAGCTTTCCTGCGCGTCACAATCCCAGCCGAGGAAAGCCCCAATAGTCGGCGGCGTGACATCGAGAGTTTCTTGGCCAAAGCGGGAATGAAATGCCTCAGCAGCCGATGTACTTGAGCTGTCTAGTGTGCGTCAGATGCTCATTATGTAATAATTGTCTCCCAGGCACAGGTTGCTGTAGGCCAGGGAGCGCTTGCAACTGAAGTGGCCATAGCTTCCCATCCAGCTTGGTCCACGTGCAGTCTAGTTTTATTACAATAATGCATCGACAGACTTGGAATGGAAGGCCTGCGCATGCAATCTTGCATAATTATGATAAGTCCCCGACAAAGCCACCCGGTGGACGGGGAAGCTTGAAGAGGCGATCTTCATGACATACTTAAAGTAGGGGAGCCACTCCAATTTGGATGAAGCCGGCTGTTCCAACAAAAAAAAGCATTGTCTTGCCGCCAATAGGAGGATGAGTAAGCAGACGCGGGCGGCGATCCTGAGCCCCCCCAACATGTAGGTATAATGAACAATAATATAAGTTCAGCCAAGGATCCGATTGGCCTGCTGTATGTAGGGGAGGCTCTCGTCCCCCAGAGGAGATACCGAAGTTCGCTTGGAGGTGAAGCTGTTGAGCCAGATAAACGATGAGCATGGTAGCCCTATTGTCGCAAGTCCGGCCGGTTTTAGCTTGAGAATTCCGCGTACCGCGGACACGAACCCAATCCTCGGATCAAGGTTAATTATGGGTTTCGGGTTGAGCAAAATATTGGGCCTGGGGGGCTACAAGCTTTATTATAATTATAGACAAGCAACGTGGTGCATACATCATCCTCCGGCCGATCGATGTAGTCCAGAGTATCACTCAGTTGCAGCGAGGCTAGTTGCACTCTATGCCACGAGCTGGTTGCTAATATAGTAGCGAGTACACGTCGGTATATGTGCCGTAGATATATATAAACCTAATAAGTATATATATATATATATACATACATATATATATATATATAATTATGTAATAATAATTATATAATATACATATCGAATATAATAACAATAATTATAATTATTAATGGATACATATGTATATAAAAAAATATATAATTATATATATATATATATATCTATCTATCTATCACCGGCCAACCCCCCACCCAACCCAGGAATCCACCAACCCACCAACCCACCAACCCGCCAACCCACCAACCCCCCAACACACCAAGCAACCAACCAACTTTTGTTTTGGGCATCCGGTTGCCTTACCAAGCGTTGAATTCGGTGCGGGCCATTATCACCGATCACGCACAGACTGTTGGCCGGGTCTGGGGCAGCCATGTGTCACACTGTGCCGGCACGGAGCCTTTTGGCCAACACACCCGGCCCGGGGTGTTTGACAGCAGGGCTATGGGCTATCGCGCTTGCTGGGGCTCTGGAGCCGGTTCGCTTTGCGGGAATCTGCCAAGCCGTGTGCATGGCAATTCATGGGAGGCCACTGGTTTGCAATGCGCATGGGCCCCTTCCTAGTCAACCCTGCCCCTCTCTTTGTTTCCCCCGACATGATTACATCCCTCCCACCCCTCATATACTAGCTATATATATATATATATGTGTGTGTGTGTATGTGTGTCATGATATTTTAATTTAATTTGTGATGTGGTCACATTGAATGTGTGCTTCGTATAATTATAAATTATACTGCTTGATGAGTGGCCTGCGTAGCCCAGCCATGCCTCAATGGTACAGACATGTCACGGGACCATTTGTAAATGAGGCCATGTCATTTCTCGTAGCAATGCAAGTGTTGCTGCAGCCAGGGCACAGTACTGCCGTTGCATGTTGCGACAGCCAGAGAACATGTCGTAGTGGCTGTTTTCCTGAGCTTATAATATAATTAATAATTAAAATAAACATGGGACACGTTGCCCCACTACTCCCTGTGAGTGAGCCTGAGAGTGGGACTCGAGAGCTCATGATAGGCGGAGAGTTCTGAGCCACATAATCAGCCACATGGATCCTGGAGTTGAAATCATATTATAAGTCGCAGTCATCCTCATGATGCCGATCCCAAACCTGAGCCCTGCACAAAGCATCGTTGGATCCAATCACCAGCAGGAGGGCAGTGGCCGATGCTGAGAGGGCCAGTGGACTGCGCTGCCACGGAACCATGCCGAAGAAAGGGTTTAAGAATATTGAATGTATGTGACATGTTCTGCACATATGCGTTTGAAGTCGTGGACCACAATTATAAGCAGCTGGGCCCATGGTGCACATGAAGGTCTGATCGTAGGCGTGACGCACGACACATGCAGCAAGCGACCTGTAGTCGAGATCCCAACATCGAACATTTTCGCACCCCGTGGACAACTGCAAGGCTTCGCTCCCCCACGAGTCTCAAAGAAATTGCTCAGAATTAAAATATACTCGGAGCAGCCAGCTGCGTCGAGTCACCGAGTGTGAAGTCGTTGATATATATATATATAGGGTAATTCATAAATTAGCAGAGTATGTTGCGAACAAACACAGCTGGACAACTCGCATATGCATCGAACCGAAAAACTATTCATTTGCGGGTCGCCTTCTTCTTAGGCCGGGGTCCCGGCAGAGGCCAGTATGGCCGAAGCCATCCTGCGACTTTTTTGGCCAAGCGATACCTGAATTGCATTGAATCGTTCATCATGGGTCTGATCAGGTATATATTTATAATTAAGGTTTATTATATTTGTAATAGTAATAATTATTATTGGTAGGGTATATACTGGCAGCCGGAAGACTTGTCCTGCACATCACCCAGATTTCCCTTCTCCCAAGCAATCTGCACACCATTCTTCTTGTTGGCCTGTTCGAGTCGACTTCATGCTAGTCAAGGTCAGCATGTTGTGTGCATCCACGAGACGTATACATACATCCTGCCTCGAGCGGTTTCTCCGCCCGCACGTGCTCATTGACAGATTTCAGTCTGTCTTCCGAAACAGGAGATACATAGAAGGCTCCAGACAACCTTGCAAGCCCATATCGAATATCGAACCCATCGCAGACATGATTCAGAAATACAGCCCAGGTGCAGCACACCGATCGTGGCGATGCCCAGGCCATCGTGGTTCTCATGCACTTTGGGGCCCGCTTGAAGGGTAAAGGACCTGGGGCAGCACCGTAGTGATTAAAGACATGGTGCGTGTGCGTGTGTGCGTGACTGCCCCAATTCGGGTGAGGCACGATATCGCTTTGCAATCCATGGGAATCTGCATCGATGAGTCCAGTAGCCGCAGCTGGCGAAGGTCTTTGAGCGCAACCTCTTTCATCTCCTTAGCTCATGTATACTATCGCAGTCGTGCTGGGAGACGTGTAGGTCAGGGGCACTGAACAGACATGTTTGAAGCTCGGAAGCGCACTTCAAGCTTGCATTTCCATTTTGGCATGGGGTTGCTGTCATTCCAAACCGGCGCATCCTTTCGAGCCTTTGCCTTGGGCCTGCTCAGATTCGGCGTCCATCCTGTCTGGCGGTAGCAGTGCGGAGGAACCGCTGGCGGCGGCGTCTTTGCATCCTTGCAAGCAAGGGTCTTGGATTAGCAATTGATCAGAGAGAAAAGAGAGAAGAGAGAGAGAGAGAGAGAGAGAGAGAGAAAGAGAGAAAGAGAGAAAGAGAGAAAGAGAGAGAGAGAGGGAAGAAACAGAGCGATATTATAATATAAGTTTAATAATTATATTATACTGCAGCATGTGCACGTATGTACATTAACATGAGTAGATATACGTCCATGCATATTTTATATAAATATATTCTAAAATAAATGATATATATATATATATATATATTTTTTACATACATATTTATATATGTGTGTGTGTCTGTGTACATGTATGCATGTCTCTAAGCGGCGGTGCGTGGCATGACCAAGAAGAGATATACCCTGGCCTCATCCTCATCGTCCTTTTCCGGAGCCTTCGGCTCCTTCGCCGGGGTTGTGACCTTCTTGTTCTTCTTTTTCTTCCCTGCTGCCTTGGCTCGCTTGTTCTTCTTTTTTTTTTTTGGTTCTCCTGCTTCCTCCGCTGGTGCCTCATCCGGCTGGGCAGTGGATGCATCCCCCTCAGGGTCCATTTCATCCCAGAACTTCTCCTGCACAGAGGTGCCATTTGAAATATAATAATTATAATAAAATAAAAATTACTAAATATAAATAATGACATATGATACATCAAAACACATCTACATCATGCACCTTGGCCCCATCTTCCTTGGCCTCTGCCTCCTCCTCAAGATCCTCCTCGAAATCCAGCCGTCGCTTCACAGGCTTGGCCGGTTTGTCCTCATCATCCACAGTGGCCTCCTTGGCTTTGCTTTTCTTCCTTTTGCCTTTTGCCTTCTTCACCGTTGCATCCTCCTCTTGCTGTACCTTAAGCCGCTCGAGGTCCTCCTCCTTTTCCAACTCCATAGCATCACTCATGACATCATCACCTCTGGGCTCGATCTCGGGGGCAGGCTTGCTTTTGGATTTCGCCTTCGACTTTGCTGCTTTAGCTTTAGCCTTTGCCTTGCTTTTGGCTTTGGGCTTCTTGGTCTGTTCATCCTTCTCAGCATCATCACCATCATCGTCGAAGTTTTCCCGGATGCTTTTCCTCAGGCTTCGTTGGACCTGGACAAAAATATGAGAACAACATAAGACCAAAAGAAAACATCGCAGCATGATTGCGGAAACTATATCCCCCTCAGCCTTGAGGATCTCGGGGCCCAAAGGCCCATGCTTCTTTTCCACATGTTCGACCAAAGCATCGGCTGAATCTGGCGCAGCACCCAAGATAGGCCACGGGATATTCGGCAAGGGGATCCGGTCCTCACCCTCCAGGGATCACATAGATCGAAACCACGAATCGAATCACACCGCATGTGCATATAACCAGCATGCTAACATCGATCCAGTCATGTACCTGCAAGATGTCCAGCACCTTCTGTTCCTCTGCAGAGACACCACGAGCGTAGAAAAGCTGACTGTCGTCAGCCGAAATTGTCAGTGGACTCTGGGCCTGGACAGGACAGAGTTTAAACTCAACAAAGTCATGTTTCCTATTGTGAAAATGCCTCATCGCCACAACCGCCTGGAAGATCAGCTGCTACCTCAGCAGATATATATATATATATATATGTGATATTATAATTCACCGTACATCGGACTGGCTCCATGTTCAATCCAAGGTACAGCAGAGCTTGCGGGACCGGGCTCCGTTTCCTCACTCTTTTCCTGCTTCTTCTGCTTCTTGTTGCTTGCGGGACTAGACACCTGTGGCCATAAAAACATGCAAACTGCTATTATTGTGCTGCATCGGTTCGGCCTGCTCCGTTTCCTGACACTTTTGCGGCTTCTTCTTCTTGCTGCTTCTGGGACTAGACACCTGCAGTGGCGACGTTATCGAACATTAAAATGCAAACTGCTATTATATAATTATATGCATTATATATATATATATATATTTATACATAATTTATTTATATTGTGCTGCATCGGTCCGTCCTGCTCAGTTTCCTCACCCTTTTGTGGCTTCTTCTTCTTCTTGCTGCTTGTGGGACTAGACACCTGCAGCGGCGATGGTATCGTAATTAGTTATAATTATTTCATTTTAAAATAAGACAGACATAGTTCATGCGACTTTGATGAATCGTGAGCCTGATCCATTTCCTGACTCGCTGGCCTTGCAGAAGCAGGCACCTGGGAATGGCAAGCAGTACAATAATCTAAAATTGGAGCATTCCAAGCCATAGGCCCACCTCCTCATCACACATGTCCTCATGCACAGCTTTGCAGTCCTTAGGTTGAAACATGAGCACACTTGATGATTCTCTTTCTTTGAATCACTCATATGCATCTCTGTCTCTGTCGGAGCCAGTGGGGAGCTGGATGGGCGAGGAACCTGAGTTCCAAGTCCAGGGTTACAAAAAATCATGCATGCATGCAATTATGTGACCTGCCTTCTTCTTTGCTGTGGAATCCAATTCCCTCCGCTTTCGTGCTGACATAGATGGTGTTGCCTTTCTAGGCGGTGACGGTGTGGGCGACCGCGCAGGGCGGGGAACCTCAAATGCCAAAAGGGCAAGCTGCAACAAAAATTAAGGGGTTGGAGTTTTAGGCGTGTGTGCGTATAAAATTGACTCCAAGCAGCATCTTCCGGACCGGCATAATCCTCCTCAGCTTGGTATTATATAATAATTTATATATATAGGTACAGGTATGATATTATAATTAGCAGGTTCAGGGGTTATGATATATATCAAAAAATCCAAGCTGCGTCGCTTGGACCGGCAGAACCCCCCTCAGCCATAAGCGGCTCAGCCTCGTAGCGCATAATGGATACAGCGGTATTGCGTATGACTATTAAACAGGCCTTGCGAAGAGTCGGCACCGGGGAGCGGCTTCTCTCCTGCAGACACTGGCTCGTCACATTAAATAAATATAACACGAAAGCAAGACCGAAAAAAATACACACTATGATTCGTGCTGCCTGGTCAGTGGCCGTGGCATCAGCACCCTGTGCCACCTCCTTGCTCTGAGCCGCCGCTTCGTCCTTGTAACGGTAATGCATATTATGTCTGCACACCTATGTTGCTACAATTCCCAACCTCTGAGTCTGAAATCTCGATTTCCGCCAGGGGGTTCTCGTGGGGCTCCACGATAAGAACACCGTCGTCATCCTCATCACCTCAAATAAATATTTAGACCACCATTAAATATTACTTCATGCTCATCAAAGGCCAAGCTGCCGTGTTGCACTTGAGTCTCATCTGTATCCAAGGCATAGCCCATCTCCCGGTCTTTCAACGAGCTTGCTGGCAGGCCCTGACTATAAAGCGTACATGGCCTCATGCGTGTACATGAGCATGCCAGCTTCAGCTATGGCTCCTCTCTGACACGTCTCACGATCTGCTTCAGCAAGTACATTTTTTCATGCCCTGGCCTCGCAGGGTGAAGCTGCAGATATGTATTATATGCAACATCATCAAACTGATCCAAGCCTCGATCCTGGGTTCTGGTGTACCCTCCGGTGCACATAAGCAGCCAATGCCCTGTGTAGGCTGCCCTCTGTGCTGGACCAATCCTGCGCATGTAAAGGCTTTGAAGTCGCATGCTCTATTATTTCAGAATGCAAGAAAAAACACCCTCCTTGATCTGTAGCTTGGAAGCTTTCTTCGAAATGATGCCCAAGTCCACAGCCAAGCTGGACAGTGCTTCCTGCATGCACACAGTTCGAGATGGATTGTCTTAAATTATTATTACAATTATAACACATATCTGATCTCGCTGCCTCAGACTCTCTTGCAGTGGGGATCTGGGGAAAGAGGCCCAGGTAGTTCTGCAAGAACTCGAAGTTCACAGCGTTCAGTTCGACCTAAGATCATGAGAAGTCAAATTAAATTTATATCCAACAACGATCATGGTCCATGTATCATGCGAGACATGTTGCATCAGCTTCCGTCACAGTCCTCCCACTGATATCCACGAACGAAAAGTTCACCGGAACCTTGGGAAGCAATCTTGGTTTCGGAATAGAGAGCTATATATAGCGTAAGCACATTGCATGCAACGGAGACATGTTTGCAAAAATGATCAGAGCAGCGATGCCACGCTTGAGGCAACGAGCCAGTTTTTTCGGCCCGATGCCGTTCTCCTTGCAGATAGCTTGCAGCCTCTCCTGGACAAAGTGCTCGTCAGACAGGAAGGACTTGTAGAGTTCCTGCCCAGTGATATTGATTTGCTTTTTATCGAAGCTAGAGAAACATGAGGGCTGCAATGAGAAAGAGAAGAGAGATCATGAGAGAGAGAGAAAGACAGATATATATAATTCTTATTAGAGACAGATAGCAACGATATAATTATATATAGAGAGAGAAATAAAGAGAGAGAGAGAGAGAGAGAGAAGAGTGTTGCAGGCCTTCAAGATCAGCACCGTGCGAGGGTTCGGCTTGGTCGGGGGCATGGCTACAGACGAGGAAACCACACGCCAATGCTTCAGTAAGCCCTCTGAGCCCTCTAGCCTCAAGAGTGAATTTAGCAGAGCCCTGTGAGCCTTGGACCCTACGATGGTTTGATCTCAGGCACAACGACCCCTCTGCGATCCGCACTGCAGCGCAGCGTGTGCATATGGACAAAAATTGATCGCACAGTGGCAGTGGTCAAATCGCCAGGAGTACCAGCAGTCGAGGCATCATCTGACAACCATGTATCAGATTGCAAATTCTCCCGGTGTCCTTAATTGCCAGAACATGTGACGATCCTCCATACAATTAAATTGCCGCTGAGCTTCGTTGTAGCAAAGCTCGTTTCATTCGTTATAATCCATCCACCCAGCTGGCCTGGGCGAGCCATTTTGTGTACACATGCGCCCCAGCCCCCTAGTAAAGGAACCTTTCTCCACATGCTGCTGAGTGTCGGCCTAGCAATAATGGCATCTCGTGCCACGGATAATCCAAGCCGTCCTTGGCAAGCAATTGCGAAAGTATATACCAATTGTAGCCCTGTACCAGACACATAGTATCCACTTGCAGCTAAGCTTCGCCCTACCCAATAATCTCAAGCTCGGCACAGGCCATCGACCAAGCCATCCTAAAATCCTGATTTAAAATACAATCACTGGACCAGCCTCCTTATAATCAGGATAACATGGCTGGGTTTAAGGCACGGAGTTCAAGCCTGGATCAGGGTTTGGGTTTTGGGGGAGCTGCGTCAAATCATCTGATATATTCGATGATTATTGTTATACAGCGTCAAATCATCTGATATATTCGATGATTATTGTTATACAGCGTAGCAACTTGCAGGCTTGTTTATATGCTTTGGGCTTCATTCAGGCTTGGAAATAGGGCTTCAGAGTTGCAAGTCAGCGGCTTGGGACCTAGATATGTCTGTGGCTTGCCAGCTCGGATCTCTGTTTTTGAGCATTATAACTGCATCTTTGGGATGTCGATCCAGTGTTTCTTCTTGTAAAGACCAGACACGAATGTACAGAAACCCCAAACCAGACAGGACCGCCCAAGAACATGTTTTTGTGTGTTAGGTGAAACGAGGCGGTTGCGTCATAAATGTATCAGGCATGTTTAACAGGGCGGTTGACGAGCAGGGTAATGTTTCCGATGCCCCAGACCTGGGTCATGTTGCATGACGGCAACGTAATGAACCCTCAAACTCCAAGCCCCAAAGGCCCGAGCCGTTAAACCCGGGTACATAGTTCGCACGCGGCGAAAGCTGGGGAGGATCCAAACCTAACCCTGCCCCAAAGTTGGTTTTACAGAGTACAAAAGCCGATTTATGCTTCAAGCTTTGGGGTCACTTCATGGTTTGAAAACCATGACTTCGCCGTTCTCCCGAGGGCTCATGCCAGGTAGGCTAGTCACAGTGGACAGATGAACTCTTGCTTGGGAACAAACCTTAAGATTGGTTGAGGGCCAGGCCGCTGAACCCGAAGCCCATAAACCACACCTGGAACCCAAACCTTTAAGCCCAACCCCAAAAACAGGACCCCAAAACGCTTTCCTTGAACCACACGCACTCAGTGCGACCCTCTTTAGACCCTAAACCCTAAACTAGGGTTCTCCTTCTCTTTCAGGACTTCAAAGGATTCGGCCGCCCCCTGGACTCGACGCCTCCTGACTGGGCATTCAATGTTGCAAGCCAGTATCTACCCACATTTTCCCTTTTTGGCTTCTATGGATTGGGGTCGGGTCTTTAGGGCGGAGGGGTGCGCAGGGCTTTGGGGTGGTGTTACGGCTTTAGGGTTCAAGCGAGGATCCCGGCCCGTGCCTGCAAAGGATGTGGGGTTGCCGGGGTCGGGTGAGTATAGGGTGCTAGTCACACCGACCGACTGTCCGACCTATCGATTGCCAACAGAACGATGTATGTCCGTCATCGCTAAGCCCCACACCCTAAAGCCGAAGCCCCTCGATCCTGCGGTGTTCCTAGCGTCATCAGCTCAAGACTGTCTGAGCTTATTGCAGGCCAAGCAGGCAGGACATCCAACAAAGAGTCACCCCCGACCTGGGCCGAGGGCTCTAGGTTTTGCGCCAAAGCACTGATCCCAAGATCTTCGCTGCTCTCAGGATGCCGGCAAAAGAAGTGATGTTTCCCCGTGATCGGCAACCGGTCGCTCAGCTGCCATGTTTATAAAAATTTAGGATTCGTCCTGCGCTGGTTTCAAAACCTTAGAACTTAGATACTGGCCCTAACAAAAAAAAACAGGCCTCGGAAACCTGACTTTCCATAGGCCCCCAAAATCCTAAAACATAACCTTAACCCCAAAGCCGTAAACCAAGAGGCCTAATATAGCCGGAGACACGTGAGGCCCCAAATTTCTCAGACCTCTGGTTGTGGCTCTCGGGCTATGCGGGTTTCAAGCTTTTCGGTCAGGGTACCAGGTAGTCTGGCTAGACATGAGCCCAGTAGCAACAACTGGCGCCGGTCTGGTGAAGGGTCAAGTCTAGTTCTGTTTCCTGTCCGTGGCGGGAGAGGCTTCAGGGTCTTGTTGAGTGCGTTGGAGGGCTCAGGGGGTCACGAGGCGGGGCATTCCAGTGCGATGCCTTCAACCTTCCAGAGACAGATTCGCGTTGCAAGTGCCAACCTTCAATCCCACCTTGATCCTGTACCTCTCGGCCATATCCCAACTTCAACTCCGAAGCCCCCTCCTAGAATCCGAACTCGGAACCTCAAGCTTGTCCCTGTTTTTTCCCCAAAACCTACAAACCTCTGTGAGCCCCAATCCCCCCTCAGCCCCGAGGTCCTAAATACCACAGCCCCAAGCCTTAAGCTCTTACGCACACATCCTCATTCAGCCGCCCAGCCCAACACCCGGTGCCCTGAACCCCTACATCCAAGCTCCCTGGCGCCACACCGAGCCCAGATAAAACCCTCTGCAACACTCATCGTAGCTCCCCAGAACCCAAAGATAAAAAAGACGACTTGGGCTGTAGCTCGTCCCAAGTCGCCGGAAGGACACCCAAGAGGTGAAGGAACTTTACAAGCGAACACACGGCAGCACCGACCCTGGGGAAGGCTGGACAATTATTCGGTGTAGGGCTTGTTATGCTAATATAAGTCTAAACAAATAAATGAATAAGTACATATACATACATATATATATATATATATGTGTACATACATACACGCATACATACATATGTGAATAAGTAAATATACATACATACATACATACATACATACATACATACATACATACATACATACATACATACATACATATGTGTGTTTTTATATATACAAACATACATACATATGTCTATATATACAGAGAGAGAGAGGGCTCCGGCTTTAGAGTTTCAGGTTTCGTGTTGTGTCTGCGGGTTTAAGTCTTCGAGGTTTGGGTTTCAGGTTAAGGCCGACTTCCCAGCTGATGATCAGAGCCTGGGTTCAACAAAAGGTTAAGGCCTGAAGGGTTGGATTAGCCTAAGTTATCTTTTGGAAGTTGTGTTGTCATGGCTTCGGAACAAAAGTCTGGCCGATCATCATAAGGTTTAGGTTTGGAAGCTAAGCCCTAAACCCTAAACCCTATAGGCCCTATATAGTATCCTTATCATGCCCCCTTGGAGTGAACCCTAAACCCTAAACCCTATACAGTATCCTTATAGTACCCTTGGAGATGCCCGAAAGTCGCCTTTAGAGAAACCCCGTACATTGCTTCGGAGCAGCCCCGGCGAGGTTTGGATCGGAAGTACGACTGGCCAGAACACGTGCCTCGGCGTGCGAATCCTCATGTTGCACTAGGTTTGTTGTAATATGTTGTCTAGTATCTTATACTTGTAGTTTTTTTTACATTCGTTTTGGTAGTCCTTAATTACATCAAAATGTATTATACTCTATAGGCAGACTTCGAACTCTTCTGGGTTGAGGGGGTTAAGGGGCCAGGGTTTAGAGTTTATGTAGGGGCTTAGGGTTCACGGTGGATGTAGGGTTTATGGGTTTGCGGGCTTATGGTTTGGGGTTTTAGTTTTCCGTCTGACTTCAGACAAAAAGGCTGTGGCCTTGTCTCATCGAACCTCTGAAGCATCTTGGGGCTCCCGTAGTAACTGTTAGCATGAGTGATTGGATGTAGTCAGCTGGTTGGCTGCGTGGTCCGGGTCTCTTCCTACCCATACAGCCTTGCCAAATCCTCCTCTTCCTTTGCCCCTAACTCTGAAGCATGCCAAGTCTCTGATCCCGACTCCTTATCATCACTTGGATGCACCCTCATCCCTCGGAATCGTTCAACCAACAAGCTAAATCCAGGTCAAGGACCTTAAACCCTAAACCCTGAGGTCAAGGGCAATCCTATCTTCCGTTTTGGCCACGCCAACCAAACTGTGGCGCCGGGATCGGGCGCAAAGTCTGCACTGAGCATGGTAAGGGCCTCAGAGGTTTCAACAGGGTTTTTGTTAAGGGTACTCTTGCTTCCTGCCTGTTCTTATGAGGGGTCAGTACTATACATAAGTTATAAGGGTTCACTAAGGGTTTTCCGGTTGGATCACGGTTTTGGTTTTGGGGTTTTGGGGATTGAGGGCTCAGGAGATTCTTAGGGTTTGAAGTTTAAGGCTTGCAGGACCCCAGGAACTTGTAGGGGTATGGTCATAAGTGGGTTCGTATGACCCTAATATCGTACCCTAAATAGTAAGATCTTTATTATGAGGACACCAAAATAGGGTACCCCTTGNNGACCCCCCCCCCCCCCCGTAGAGTTAGGAGAATTCTTTGGTGTCAGCCGGGCGAGCTGGGATTTTCGTGAGGTTTGCGTACTGAGGCGCGCTGGGTTGTTATGGTTTGATTGTTGCACCCTAACCCCCCAGACACCTACTATATAGGGTACTAAAGCCCCTAGGGCCCTATATAGTAGGTACCTGGGGGGGTAGGGGTAGCTAGGGTTAAGTGTTTGGGCAGGGCATGAGGGCAGAGTGTTTGAACCTTGGGTTAAGCATTCACATCTTGGGTAGAGACTTTTAGGTGTTGGGTTTAAGGGTTTAAGTGTTAAAAGCTTTCAGGGACTCAGCTTAGCTTTGGCTTCTTGGAGCCTTGGACCCCCACTCCTGTAAAGCCTATCCGGCCTGAAACCCTTTGAACCGTGAACCCTCCGTACCCTAAACTCCTAAACCGTAAACCTCAAACCCGTGTGTCGGTTTGAGGGCTTGTCGGGCTTGTGAGATCCCCTCGTTGTAAAGCTATGGTAGTTTTGAGGGTAGTCTTGAGGCTGCACTGGCTCAGGAAGTTCGTGCCGGGTAGGGGTACTTATTTAGAATTTTGGATCCTCTAAGTGAAACCGAACTACTAAGCCCCATGATCCTTCGAGTAAATTGTGAGCAGTGGATAGGGGCAAAAAGCCTCGCTCAGAGATAAACCAGCAGCATGAATAGCAACCCCAGTTGCGCTTCTAAACCCCTGATGTTTGTATTCTAGACCCCTGATGTTTGTATGCACCAAAAGACGTCAATAGCATTTTGGTGAGAAAATCCACAATCATTGAGCTGGACTGGACAGTGAGTGGAAAGAGTTGCTTTAAACAGAACCTAGACCGACTAGATACTCCCCGCCCCAAACCCTAAATTCCCAAATCCCTAACAATGCAGCTTTCGCATGGCGAAATCACTGCGGAGTAGAGCTTCTTTCAACCCTAAGCTCTAATCCCTAAACCCTCAACCCTAGGAACAAAATCCCTAAAGGACTGTGGAGTGGAACCGCTCTCAGTTCCTGCAACTCTCATCGTCAAGGCCGGCTTAGCTCACATGGAAGGCTGAGATCTACCTTACTTGGAGCTTCATGTGTCGTTATAAGTGAGGTTATGGGGTTCCTTTAAAGGTTCCTTTAAGGGGTTCTATAGGGTTTAGGGCTTAGGGTTCATGGGTAGTTATAAGTGGGGTTAGAAGTAGGGTATCTAGAATTGTAACCCGTATTAGGGGACTTATAACTCCACTTATAACTACCCATGAACCTTCAAGTAGGGTTTGGGGCTTGTTGGTTCCTTTAAGGGTCAATTTAGTACGAGGGTGGCAAGGGATGGACGGGACTGGCAGAAAACTGCGATACCATTTTAACTGGCATCCGATTACTAACGATCCGAGTATTTAGGGTTTAGAGTTTAGGGATATTGGGGTTCTCCATTTTCTGAAACTCCCCCACCCTGAGACTCATTTCAACTGTCACAGCCAATTTTCGAATTACCTCCTTGGGAGTATCACAACCTAACGTACCTGTTCAAATACGCTTCCGAGGAGAGCAGGTATTCCAGATATTTTGGGGCTCCTATTTGTGTTCTGAAGCATGGGGCCTACTAAGGGCCTTTCATAGAGGTCCTTACGGTCAGACCCTTCAAGACTCCGAGCAAGTTGAGCTAATTCATCGCGAGTCTGCATAATGGCAGAAGGTCATGGGCTTAGGGCTAGGGGTTTAGGGCTTAAGGTTTGGGGTTTAGGGTTTAGGGCTTAGGGCTTAAGGTTTAGGGTTTAGGGTTGCAGTAGCTGGCAGAATGGAGTAGACCATGTCTGTAGGGCCGGCTAGTGCGAATAGTTCGAATTTTATAAGCTGTTGGAAGCTATTCACTCTTGTGGGGATAGAAGAGATTACCTTGGCTAGAGTTGGGCCCATGCTAAGATGAAGGCACTCCTGCAATTGATGGATACTTTACATAGGCATAGTTGATAGTATGAACGCCAGCAGCAGCAGCAGCAGTAGTCGTCGTCGTCGTGGTTGTGGTGGTAGCAGCAGCAGTATTAGTACTAGTAGTCTTAACTACTGCCAGTCTTTTGCCAGTGTTCATCATATGGGAGTTTCCAAAAATTGGGGTGTACCTTATTTGGGGTCCTCAGAATATGGATCCTACCAGTCAGGGTACTGTATTAAGGTCCCCTATTTCGGAAACCCGCCATATTCCTAGTCCTTTGCCACAGAAGAGAGCGAAGTTCGAGTGGTGAGACCGGATCCGGTCTCGGGGCTTGATGTTCCTGAGGACTCAAAGTGTAAAACCTTCTGGGTTCCTTCAAGGGATCGGTAAGGGTACGAAAGACTCTCAGGGTCTAGGACTTTACTTAGGGTTCAGGGATAATTTAGGTTTTGAGGGTTTAGGGTTTGAGGGTTTGAGGCTTGCGGGTTGTGTCTGAGCTCCTAAACTTGTTATTCTCAAGCTCCCTAAGTGCTCAACCCCAGGAGCCACAGCCTAGATCGAGAGGCCTTCAGGGGGGTTTAGGGTGGGATTTGGAGTCCTTGGAGTTTGGAGTTTAGGGGGTCTCAGGCTTTCGACTGGGCCCGAATCTTAAAACCCAATCGGCCAGGACACGCTCGCGAATTTCCAAGAGATCACCTCCGATCACATCGGAACGAGCCGGAACCTGATGCAATTGTGTCTTGGCTAGGCTTAGGGCTTAGGCTTTAGGTTTCGGTCATGTCAAGATCAGGGTTTAGGATTTGGGAAGTTTGAGGGCTCAAGGCTCATGCGTGGATCCAAATAAGCAGGGCAGCTCTTGCGCTCAACATGCCCTGAAGATGGCCTCATCCGAAGCAGTCGCCCCTGAACACCAAGGGCACCTCCAAGCCGCAGAGACATTGTAGTACTTCTGAGTTCATGCCTTCATGTCGGCCTTCGAACACTGGGCGTTGCACTCCCATCCAATTCCAGGCTTGGGTGCCCTTTACATGAATCGCGCGGTTCTGACTGCGACCGGCAGCCCATACCCCGCAGCCCCTCGAAAGCAGCAGCAGCGCTAGCTTCAGCAGCAACAATACCGCACGACGGTGGTTACGACGAGACAGCACCAAAGAGAGCGACAACCGCATATGCCACAACGACCAAAAGGGTTCGATGATTAAGGGCATCAGCCTGAGCAGTAAGAATGAGAATGCTAGTCACGCCCGAAAACTTAGGCCAATTCAAAGACCTATAGAACCACAACAGTTGTGTGGAACTTTTACCCGTAAACCCACCTCCAAACAACACAGCAACAGAGCTTTAGGCTTTCATAGGGCTCCTTCAAAGGGTTCCTTAAATTTTTTGTTCTATAAAAGTTCCTTAAAACGGGTTCTAGAAGAATTATAGAAGTGCCAAGAACCCTAAACCCTAAACCCTAAATCGTCAAGGCAGTCGCACCAGAACCTGGGACGCCATCACTCCTTCGGGAAGCCGACCTCCACAGACCCTGCGCCTCGATCCGCTCAGGCGAAGAAAGCCCGGTTTAGGGCTTGGGGTTTAGGGTTTGGGGTTTGGGGTTTAGGGCTTAGGGTCTAAATAGTTACAATACTATATTGGTGGTCCCCAATTTGTTAAAGCACCATAAAGGAGCGCAAAATAGATAACTACCAATATTACTGTTAGGGTTCCTTACTATAAATAGACTAGAAAGGAGCCTAAAACCCTGTTCTAAGTGTTAAGGTCCCCACATTAAAGCTAATGTATGACGTCTGGGCTGCAGGCAATTAGCCCCTAGGCTTCGGTGTGAAAGTCGGGATGTAAAGGCGAACAGCTACTTGTGTCCCGGAAGGTATCATTGTCATGCTGTGGTTTCAATTCGAGCCCATGTCAAACTGGCTGGCTTGTACGTAGCAGTAACATCGTCCAGGGAATCCTGCGCGGAGGCAAACTCGTTAGAACTTTTGGTTGCATTTGATGCGCTTGCGGATGAAGTCGAGAAGTTGCCCGTCACTGACCCAAGACTGGCCGAATTTATAAGGAAAGCTCCAGCGCACACCTGCCCGGCTTCGGATTATGAGGTCAGCGCCGGCTCGTTGATTCACGGCAACTACTCACACGCAGAACAGCCACCTGGACCGATTGTAATGAGGGTTCAGTCGACTTTCATGCTGTTGATAGTCACTCGCTCACCTGCCAGCAGGTTGAGGCTTTAGGTTTCAGAGCTTGGGCTTCAGTCGAGAAAAGCCAAGGATGCCCGATGCAGACCTTGGGAAGTGCCTGCTTAAAGGCTTGGCATGCTGACAGGGCTTGTTCACGCTCACGGAGGTGACTTCTGGCGGGGGAAAATTCAATTCGTTGTCGATGACTTCGACTATGTCAGGTCTAATACGATGAGAACGATGATCACGAAGATGGTAAGAGTACGGATAGATACCGCTGAGTGGAGATGGCACGAGGGTGCTTAGGATGATGGTGATGAAGGTGATGATGATGATGACGGTGATGATGATGATGATGATGATGATGGTGATGATGATGATGATGGTAGCAACGGCCGCAGAGGTGATTCCTTGGCCAGTGTGAGAAAGGTTGATCGCGGGATTTGAATCTTGGTTCGTGGCAGCCGATGCACGGAGACTGACCATGGGAGGGCGGCCTACGACCGGACAGCATCTCCGACTGGAAGTATTGGATGTCCGCTACGACGGCCATCGCGGACAAGAAAAATCGGTACCATTGTGCCTTTTCTGCTAGATCCTAAGCCCTGCAGCATGAATCCTAAACCATTCCTACTCTGGCTCCTTCCTCTCGCCCCTCTCCAAGAACAGCCACAGCCTGACGAAAGATAATCAGTTTCAAAGGTTGTCTAAGCTGATTCCCCAAAGCTTCAGAATATCAGCACGCAGGCCGCAGAAACTTTGAGACAGAGCCACGGGGCGTGCCCTCCGTGCGATTTGACAAAGTTGCCCCACCTCTCGAGAACCTTGGCTCCTATAAGGGCTCCCCGAATGGATCCGATGAGAGCTTGTAGGCCAAACCTGGGAAACAGCCATTCTTTCGACTCGTGTTACATGAATGCTAGAAATATTCAGCCTTTAGGCTACCTGAGCTTCCAAAACCTTCCCCTCTCACAATTGCCGATACATGCGCCTGAAGAAGAACAGGGCTTGATGGCTGCAAAATCTTCCTTGGGAACGGGTGTCGAATTCGGTTTGCGAAAGTCTATGATTCAGGATGCACGCTGTTTCAATATATAGGGTGCTGGTGCATAAGGACTTGCGTTTGTCGTTTAAGGGTTCAGGGAGGGAAGGGTGTCTGGGTTTGTAAGACTCAAGGTTGCAGGATTTAGGTGCACGGTTTACAGAGTCGAAATCCCGAATCGTCTAGTTGTGTAGCTGGGATTTGCAAGGAACTGATATCCTCGTGCTCAGGAAAAGATCTGTGGCTAATGACACCAACTACGGCGACGACCTCCACGCAGGATCTTTAATCACGCCGACCCGCTTCCAATTCCTTGGCATTTCTGCGGAGGAGACGCTGCGCATGCTTCCCTAAAGGACTTCGGACACAAGCAATACAAGTCACAGTATAATGTAGGAGAGCAACCCCCGTCGCAGAGCTCCTCCTTGTCTGCACCGTTACAGCATGCTGAGTCCCAAGACCATGCGTGTCTTCTAGCTGGTCCCGATAATTCATCGGGGACGGAGTGTTTGGGGATTTTTGGTCCGTTCAGATAAAGCCGGATGAGGGTTGATGATTTCCTCCTTTGGTTCTTCGGATCAAGACATCGAGTCGCTAGTAAGCCACGCTTGAAGAGTCGCACTGTGAGTGCGGGAACCCCCAAGACTTACAGAAACCTATACAAGGGTCGAAACGATTATAACATAGTGTTCACATGCAGTCCAAAAGTTAGTTGTCGTATCATCTACCCCCGAGCTTTATTAAGGCCCTTACGTTTGCCAAAGCGTGGGATTTTGGCACATCAGCTGCAATCGTCAGCATTTCAGTTGATGCTAGGCTCCCAAAAAGTCTAATTTAGTAGAAAACTTAAAACCGTAAGACTTTGCTGCTAACAGGCGCACCTGAGGTTTGAGAACTTCAGTCAGAGGTTGGCCTCCCGAAGCAGGGTCCAAATCTATCCGCCTTGCCTTCCAGATACTTGGCTTTGCCATCAATGCGTGTGCTAACTGCAGGTCTCTCCTATCAACATGTTTAGGGGAGGCTACAATATCCGAAGCCCAGGGAAAGACTGAGCAAGCTCACCGTGTCCTATCCACAAGTTTCTCGTTCTTAGTATAACCGCCAGGTCTGTTTGACGGTTACATACGATCATTATTTTGATGCCTGAACCTTGCGACCCTTGCCTTCGCAATTTCTTTTGGCAGTCTAAACACAAAGCATCCTAAAATGCATCCCCAAGTCAGTCCCTGTTTCACTCCATCGACCCGGCGATACACCTCGCCTGGAGTGTCCGACGAGCACCGAAAACCCCACGCTTGTTGCAAAGGAGTTTTTCCAAAGAGAAGCTGAGCCCCAGACCCTCAAGACACCAAAACCTAAATCCAAAAGAACACAGCCCACAGGACTTTGTGCAGAAACGGCCGGTCGGGGAGGTGGCGAGTCTCCTTCGGGGAGCTGGCGCCCCGACAGCAAGAATTTCCGCCTTTCAGGGCTTAAGCTGTCAAGGGCTTGAGGGTTTACGTTTATGGCTGGCGGTCTAGGGTTGGGTTTCAAGGATTTCAAGACTTTGTTGTTTCTTTCAACGGGAGTTCGGGCCTTTATAGTTGCTTGAGGGTGTTTCGTAATCAGGGTACGCCACTAAACAGATGTTCTGTCACCTGGTAGCCCATAACTTAACCGGAGACCTAGAGGACAATTCCCGAAGGAGAAACCATAAAATTTCACGTATTAGTATAGGGGCTTAAACAAATTACAGTACTCTGTTGGAGGAGTCTTTTTTCTAACTATACTATACTGGACCCCAAAACCCTATTGTAATTTTCAAGGCCCCTACATTACTACTGGTTGCATGTCCGGGTGTGTCGTGGCAAGGTCTTGGACTGCGGCCAAGGTTTCAGGTCCTGTGTTTGTTGCGTTTATTTCCTTCGGATTTGCAGGTTGTGCAAGGGTTGCATATTTGTTGCTTGGCTCATAGCGTTGAGGGTTTGCTGCTCTTCCTGGACATCTACCTAGTTATTGTCTTTGCTATTGAGAGAACCCATCCGGCCGACATGTGAGCAACATAAACAGTTCCCGCTGAAAGGCTTGAGCACTACGTTCCAAAATATTTTGTCTCGAAACCCAAAAGAATCAGGCTTCTGCGCGGAGGACGAGAAGCTTGAAGCCATCGTGCAGCGGGCGGGAAGCGAGGATGGCTTCTCGGCTGCATTCAAAGGGCTGAGACTTTGGCTTTTCTGCCGTGTATACTTAAATCCTAGACAAAGTCTTAGGTACGCCATTGTTGGGCATGTGATGTGAACGTGCATTTGCGTGCCTTATCCATCCAGAAAATTTCCAGGTTTCGACTTGGAACCCAAGTTCCGTCGTAATAGTAGCAGCAGTAGCAGTAGCAGCAGCAGCAGCAGTACTAGTAGTAGTGGCAGTAGCAATACCAGTAGGAGTAGGAGTAGCCGTTGTAGTTGTAGTAGTAGTAATACCAGGACCAGACTAGCACCAGCACCAC